GGCAACCCCGAGTGCCAAGGAGGAGAGCTTCCAGGCTTCGCAGCTCGATCGTAGAATGCCCTTCGCACACAAACTTGTTGACACCGTTGAATTATTCCGAGATTCCCTGCCTTCCCGATGAATGCCCCCTGCAGAGATCTTAGATGTCTCGTACAGGGCTTGGAGGTGTCGATGGTATTCGGACAAGTTCTTCTGCTAGGTCGAGGCGTGTCTGTCTTGGCGAGGCTGCGATGAGCTTCGCATCTTTGCCGGTCGAGGTCGGAAGCCTTGCGTCTTTCCTAAGCTGAAACTAAGCCGTAAGATTCAAGTTAAGTATTGACCTCTTCATATCGGGTCACACTGGCTTGTGCGGTCCGGACTTCAGGACCGAGGTTGCATTTTGCGGGGAGCTGGGGGGGGCAAGGGCTGAGTTTCTGCAGCCAGCGGCTTCACTTTCGGTCTGACATGACAATTCCGGCATGCAGGCCGTCGAACGTGACAGGATACAATGTCCCACCCTCAAGCTTGAAGGGCTGCCGTAAACTTCACACAGACCAGAGTCCCAAAGGCTCCCACACGTAGGATGCCCAGAGCCCAGGATCTAGAAACATTTGCCAAATGTGCACCAAAGTATATGTTTGTATGTGTGTGTATGTCTGTATGCATTATATATATATATATATATATATATATATGTTGCATATTCGAGAAACCTTCCCGAGTAAAATATGAGTGCACACAGCGAACGCAAGTGAACATAGATATGATTGGACATTCTCGAACATGTAAAATGCCAAATAATTTGCTGAACAGGTCAAACGTATTGACTTCATTGGCACGTGACTTGAACCTATTTAGTTCGACAACTATATGGACACGTTCCTGTATTTATAGTTAGACCAGAATCGATTGGGGAGCAAAACCTATAAGGACATTACCGGAGGTCAACGTATCGTCAGTCTGAAACAGGTTTTGCTAATTTCAGCACACCTCGAAAACAAGTTGCGCACACAGTTTCACAATAATAGTCAGGTTGAGAAACCATTCCCTGGGCCGAACGGAACACTACTTGCAAATGCCAAGCCGGCTGCAGAGTATTGGCTGATGATGATCCTTCGACACCACAGTATTTGACTCACCTGCTAACACACACGCACACACACGCACACACACGCACACACACACACACACAAACACACACACACACACACACACACACACACACACACACACACACACACGCACACTCACTTCAGGACAGTTGACTCCCAAAGCCGAGACTCTTTATACCAAAGCTCCTGAATCATCCGGCCTCACGCTCAGCACTGTGTTCAGGAGGCTAGCACCTTGGGCGAGTTGGTCCACCTCATTCTCGGTGGGGCCTCCGCACTACGATGCGTGGACGCGGTAACTGCGGAGCAGGCAGCAGGGAATGGGGGAAGAGTCATGATCGTGATACATTGAAATAGAGGAGTCATCCCAAAGCATGTCGACTCGATTGCCCCGCTGTACAGTTTCGATATCACCCCATAGACATACATTTGAGGTCCTTAATATAGGGGCCTTAATAATAAAGGGCTCTATAGTATAGGGGCCTTAATAGTTAGAGTACACTCGACATTCTTTGCGCAAGGCCCCTACCTTGGCTTCTGCATTGGAGTCGCCGGCTGCAGCGGCCTTGGAGGCTCCGAAACCAATACTAGAAGGAGTTCCGTCAAGGGATCTATACTTAAAGGATCATGGGACTTAGTAACTAGGGTTATAATTAGGGTAACTATAGTTATAACCCCAATTAAGGTACTTATAACCTTACTTACTAGGAGATCCTTTAAGGGTGGTACTATGAAACATTGACGACAGGAAGTTTGAGTAGAGGAGCTTTGGAGCTTCCGGGAAGCACGGGACCCCACAGAACCAAACCAAAGAATCATTACTTAGGGGTTCATGGGTAGTTATAAGTGGGGGTTACAACTAAGGTGACTTAGGGGTTCATGGGTAGTTATAAGTGGGGGTTGTAACTAAGGTGACTTAGGGGTTCATGGGTAGTTATAAGTGGGGGTTATAACTAAGGTGACTTAGGGGTTCATGGGTAGTTATAAGTTGGGGGTATAACTAAGGTGACTTAGGGGTTCATGGGTAGTTATAAGTGGGGGTTATAACTAAGGTGACTTAGGGGTTCATGGGTAGTTATAAGTGGGGGTTATAACTAAGGTGACTTAGGGGTTCATGGGTAGTTATAAGTGGGGGTTATAACTAAGGTGACTTAGGGGTTCATGGGTAGTTATAAGTGGGGGTTATAACTCAGGTGACTCAGGGGTTCATGGGTAGTTATAAGTGGGGGGTTATAACTAAGGTGACTTAGGGGTTCATGGGTAGTTAATAACTAAGGTAACCATATAAGTATATTACCCATATTAGGGGACTTAGAATCCCACGTATAACTACCCGTGAACCTTCAAGTAGGCCCTAAACCCTATACCCTTATAGAATCCCTATAGATCCCTTTAAAGGGACCTAAACCCTATACCCTTATAGAATCCCTATAGATCCCTTTAAAGGGACCTAAACCCTATACCCTTATAGAATCCCTATAGATCCCTTTAAAGGGGCCTAAACCCTATACCCTTATAGAATCCCTATAGATCCCTTTAAAGGGACCTAAACCCCATACCCTTATAGAATCCCTATAGATCCCTTTAAAGGGACCTAAACCCTATACCCTTATAGAATCCCTATAGATCCCTTTAAAGGGACCTAAACCCTATACCCTTATAGAATCCCTATAGATCCCTTTAAAAGGACCTAAACCCTATACCCTTATAGAATCCCTATAGATCCCTTCAAAGGGACCTAAACCCTATACCCTTAGAGAATCCCTATAGATCCCTTTAAAGGGACCTAAACCCTATACCCTTATAGAATCCCTATAGATCCCTTTGAAGAGACCTAAACCCTATACCCTTATAGAATCCCTATAGATCCCTTTAAAGGGACCTAAACCCTATACCCTTATAGAATCCCTATAGATCCCTTTAAAGGGACCTAAACCCTATACCCTTGTAGAATCCCTATAGATCCCTTTAAAGGGACCTAATCCCGATACCCTTATAGAATCCTGTAGAGTTCCCTATGCGTACGTAGCTCTACGTGTAGGTCGTAGCTCCGCTTCTAATCTGTCTTTGATAATGTTGAATTCGTAGCCTTGAAGGCTCGGCATGCCATGATCGGCAGAAGCCAAAAGCTTAGGACAGAGTCCAGGCATGCATGAAGCACAGCTAGCATTCCATAGGAGACATTCGCCCTGAGGGCCAAGTGTTCACCGGAAGCAGGTTTGCGTTGAGCGACAAAAGTGAGGTAGTAAGCCCATGGAAAGCCGCCACCTGTCTTGGTAAACCTCGACGACTTGAACGACTACAAGGTTCATGGCTTCCTCTACAGATAACCCAAATTCGAATGGTCAAGATGATGATCAACAGGTTATGGATAGCCCAAACCCTACCACCGCTGGTGCCACGGGAGATGTTCCGCGGGTCAATGGAGTGACTCCACAGCCACTGAATCAAAGTCCGTTTGACATGGATGGAGAAACAGTGAATCCGCAAGCTGCATCTCGTATGGTTCAGGGAGCGAATGCAGGGTTGGAACGTTCAGTTCCACAGACTGCTGGGGATTTCCTTGAAGGCCCCAACGAACCTTCGGGCGCTCCGCGAGGCGTTTTGGGTGGACTGTCGAGGGTGATTCAATCCATCCCGACTGTTGTGGAGCAAGTTATTCCAGGGGTGGCACCGATGCACCCTTCACCCACCAATCAGGATGCAGTTGAGTATGCTTCTGTGAGATCTACAACAAGCTGGGAGCATAGACCGCCCTCGGCTACGCAACTTCCTTCTACGCCGTTGCTGCCAGAGGCGACGGTACTGAGGATGAGGGAGATGGAGAGGGCTGCGCCATTGCTGTACCAGAGTGGAGGTGCAAATCTTGTGCTACCGCCCAATCCACCATCGACCTCTTCGAGTGATATACAAGCTGAAGTCCGGAGGCAGTTACAGGAGTTAATGGCCTTACGTGATGAGGAGGGTCGAAGACTGAGGGCTCAGGTTGAGGCTCTGGCAATGGAGAATAGTGAACTGCGAGGTAGGATAGTAGATGATGTACAGGCAAGAAGTGGTGTACAGATGAGGAGCAACGTAGGAAGGGGTGAATCTTTGATGTACGGATTTCCCGGGCTAGGATGGTTGGGTAGAGGTTTAGAGAATCTTATGGGTTCTAATCGGGCACTTGATTTGAGGCCACATGACACCCAGACCTCACCTTTGGATTTTCCACCCACGGGTCGTCCCCAACCTGCTATCGGCGTGTTTCCTCAATCACTAAGCATGGACAATCCTCCTACTGGTCAGGTTCTGCATCCTCCAGGTCAGGTTCCACCACCTTCAGGTCAGGCTTCATTGCATCAAGGTCAGGTGCCGGTACCTTTAGGTCAGGGGCCTTTGCCTACAGGTCAGGTTCCGCCGCCTTCAGGTCAAGCGCTGCATCCTGCAGGTCAGATGCCAACCCCTTTAGGCCCAGGGTCTTTGCCTTCGAATCGTACAATGCCAATGATTGACCACTCGCCAATGATGATGATGATGAACCAGGTTCTGCCTACAGGTCAGGTGCCACAGCCTTCAGGTCAGGTGCCACAGCCTTCAGGTCAGGTTCCACAGCCTACAGGTCAGGTGCCACAGCCTTCAGGTCAGGTTCCACAGCCTACAGGTCAGGTGCCACAGCCTTCAGGTCAGGTGCCACAGCCTTCAGGTCAGGTTCTGCCGCCTACAGGTCAGGTTCCACAGCCTCCAGGTCAGGTTCCGCAGCCTTCAGGTCAGGTTCCGCAGCCTTCAGGTCAGGTTCCGCAGCCTTCAGGTCAGGTTCCGCAGCCTTCAGGTCAGGTTCCGCAGCCTTCAGGTCAGGTCCCGCAGCCTTCAGGTCAGGATCACTCCAAAGTGCAGGTGTTGGATCCGTTGAACGTGGTTCTTACAGGAATGGCGCAGTTGCAAGGCATAGTCACCGAGATCGCAGCGTCGCCAAAGACGAGCCAGCGTGCTGAGGTCATTAAGCCAGGTGTGCAGTCGTTGCCAAGTTTGCCAGATCTAGGAGCTGAGTCTTGCCTTTTGTTCTCGGATTGGCTACACAATGTAAGACCGGCTCTTGCTGATGTGAGTGACAACTCCGAGGAACTATGGTCTATGGTAGTCAGCGAAGCCACAGAGTGGTATAAGGTCTACTTGAAGTTGGACCCACTAGGCCGCTTGACACACCCTTCCAGGCCCTCTTCGGATCTAGAGCAGGTAAGGTGGCAGCGAGTATCCCGGCGAATGGAAACTATGATACTTGCAGCAACACCTACCACCGTTAAGGACGAAGTAAGTGCAGCACGGGTGTCAGGGCTCTTCCCACTTGTATGCAAGTTGTTCGTAATATACGGACCGGGTAGCTTGACAGAGCGCGAACTTGGACTCCGACAGATCCAGGATCCGGCCGCAGGTGTTGGGGTTGCCGACACCATCGACTTGATGCGCCGCTGGAAGCGGTGGTGCAATCGGATGTCTGAGCTCGGTGGTTCGTTACCGGACTGTGCACTTCAAGTTAAAGCGATAACGAAGATATCTAGGATGGCTCTAGAAAAGAACCCAGATATAGGGTTCCGTGTGAACTTGAGCCGTGCATCGCTACAGGTGGATATGAATCCGGACAACGATAAAGTGATGAAGTTGCATGCTCAAATCTTGAGTGAGCTGGAGGCCATCCACCACAGGGGGACCAAGGATAAGGAGGCGGAAAAGGATAGGGATAGGGATAGGACTAAGGACGGCACCCCTCAAGCAAAGGTGAAAGGGGTTGAAGCCACGCAGGCAGCCCCAGCACCCAATCCTAAGGGACCAAAGAACCCTAAGTCTACCCCTAAGTCCGGGCCTCCTCCTAAGAACCCTCCTGCAGGAGATGCTCCATCTGGAAAAGTGCCGTGCACCTTCTATGTGCAAAACAACGGATGCAAAAAGGGTGCTGATTGTGCCTTTGAGCACAACTGGAACTCCTTCTCCAAGGAGGAAAAGTCCCAGAGGTGCAAGGTGTGCGGTAGTCGAAACCATAGAGCATCTGACTGTAAAGCCGGTATGAAGGACGACAGGGCCCCACCGGCGTCAAAGACTCCATCTCGGAGTCAAGCAACTCCAAAGTCAGGAGCAGAGAATTCCACTAGCCCTGATCGCCCACAGCAGAATATAAAATCGATGCTTGCGGACGCAGCCAGAATCTTGCAGCAGGCAATGCCAGACCAACCGAGCCCCACATCGCATGTGCAGCCACCAGTGCAAGCTGTGCCTATAAGCCCTCCAGTTCCTTCTTCAACGGGTGGCACGAATGCACCCTCCGGAAGCCCTGTTCAGGGATCACCTGTGACCCTTGCCTCTCTGAGTGCACAGTTGGAGACCTTAAGAGGCATGGCAGGTAATCCCGAAATTAAAGGATTGCAGGTTGAGGAGGAGAGCGAGAGTAATGCCTGGGAGAGGGTACCAATTGAGGGTTTGCGGCAACAGCTTGATAGCTTGCGCGCGCTGGTGTCTGCAAGGGAGCCTACGATAAGGACCTTTTCCAGCTCCAGCTCAGATCAGGACAGGTTGGTAAGGGCAATGGCCCTTTTAGATTCAGGAGCAACGCATGCCGTGATTCCCTATGATAGATCGTTGGGAAGTTTGGAGTCTGTTCCAGTTACCTTGGCAGGAGATGAACGCCAGCAATGGTTAAAGACTAAAGGGGGAACATTAGTGGTTCCACCCTCGGGAAAGGAAAACCCAGAGGGCCCGAAGCCCCAAACTATCCTCCCGTTGGGTTCATTAGTCGAAAACCTAGGCTGCACGGTTGAATGGTCCAAAAGGAAAGGCTTGAAAGTTCGACACCCTACCCTGGGAGTTTTGAACACAGGTGTATCAACTAATCACTGCCCAGTGGTTCAAGAAGGCCAGGCTCTAACTATGATAGCTGAGCTTGAGAGCAAGCGCCTGGAATCCTTTCGAGACCGTATACAGGACTTGGAGTGTCAGATTGAGCACTTGCAATCCTCTCCGGACCCTACGCAAACTCTGAAGAAGTTCATTGCCACGGGGGACCGGGGGGATGCCCTGCAGGCCCTCATTGCCCAATCGTATCTTGATGAGGTCCCTATTGCCCTCAAGGCTTGGATGGCTGAAGGGTTTGCTTCCACCGCGCCCGAAACTGGATGGGCCCTTATGAAGAATCTTCCCATGAGGCGTGCAGCCCGCAGAGCCCTTCTGCAATCAGATCGATGGGTGGTACACCTATGTTCTGGTGCACCTAAGCGCAATGATCCTTTGGCGAACTGGTGCAAGGAGCAAGGGCTGAGTTTCTTACCTGTTGACATACGGGAAGTAGGGGGAAAGGGATGGGATCTGACCAAGCGCGATGGTGTTTGGCGTGTTCTGCTCTGGGCAGCAGCGGCAGGCAGAATATCAGGCATCTTCTCATCTCCACCTCTGCATGCGGACCCCAGTAAGGAGGTGCTGAAATATCAGGACAAGTTCCTGTGGTCCTTGGCCTCTGTTGCAAATGGGCAGGGCATACCTTTCTTGAGTGAAGTCTCAGGGATAAAGGAAGGACCTGTTACAAAATTCAATCAATGGTCCGGGATGGAACTTGTGGTTTTCTACCAAGGATCCTTGGGGGATAGCTACGCAAGGCCCACTAGGATATCAACCAACCTAGAGATGGGTTTCCTGGCACGGCTACCAATGAAAGGAAGCCTCGAGAATCCAAAGCAGGGACCGGTTTGGACAGTTGAGTTCCGAAGGGAAGTAGTACGTGCATTATCTGGTTCTCCGGCAGGAACCACCTGTGAGGCGTTAGATGCAATGATAAGAAGCGCCAGGCAAGGGGAAAAGGATTTTGCCGTAATGCAGGAAGCTGCTGCAATTGAGGAGGAACGGTTAAACCGGATGTTTGAGCAGGAGAGCGATATGTCGTCTTCTGATGAAGAGGGAGGAGATGACGAAGCCCCTGAGGTCAAAGAGATCAAAGAGTTCTCTCCAGCAGAACTTGAAAGGTGGAGGCAGCATGTTTTGAATGGGCATGTCCCATATCGCAAGGATTGCCGGCAGTGCGTGGAGGGTGCAGGTCTAGGTCCGTTTCATGCAAAGGTCCGGCATCCAAGATCATACACGCTGTCTTTGGACCTTTTTGGTCCGGTGCCGCCACCGGAAGCAGGTAGAGATGAGTCCTGTGTTACCGGAAAATGTGTAATGAGATACGGCTTGATAGGTGCCCTAAGAGTTCCAAAGTCCGTCCTCCCAGCAGAACCAAAGGAGATTGGAATTGAGGACTTGGTTCGGCCGAGTCTTCCGAAGGAAGGGGCCGTGCCTGATGACGCAAGGGATAGCTTGTATGAGCCTTCGGAACCAGGAGATGATCTGTTCCCAGAGCTTGAGATAGATGACGGCGGTTCAAGGGAAATTGAGGTTACCGAAAAGGATAGGGGAGTTATCCAAGCGTTTGAGTCTTTGGAGTCGGATTTGGACGTTGAGCCACTAGATAAGGAAGCCCTGCAGGCTCTTGCCGAGGAACTTGCAACGCCGGTTGAGCAAGTTGTCTTAAGGTATTTTATTCCCATAAAGTCCAAAACCGGACCGGAGGTGACAGAGGCTGTTCAGCGCATGATATTGAATATAGGAACGGAGTTTCCTATAAGGACTGTCCACCATGACCCGGGAACCGAGTTCTCGACCACTGCTCTTGCAAGGTGGTTTGGGGATCGGGGAATAAGAGTTTCTAATTCCCTACCCACAGATAAGAAAGCTAATGGACTTGCTGAGAGGACAGTTGGATGGTTTAAGTCTAGAATAAGGACCCTGCTGCGTAGCGCGTCACTGCCAACTCGTTGGTGGCCTCTCGCTGGCAGATGGGCTGCCCATAAGCACAATTGTGCAATCCTGGGTAGACCAGCACCCCCTGGATTTGGGCAAAGAGTGTTACACCGAATCAAGCGCCCTGCTGACGGGGCGAAGCCGCTGATGGAAAGGTGGATTGATACTCAATATGCGTGTCCACACCGTTCTATATCAGATGGTCATGTCCTCATAACCACAGCTGGTAATCTGGTCGCCTCTAAAGGGTTTAAGGCCAACACTCTTGATCCTAGTGAACTTGAGGGTTTGAACTTACCCATCCTTCAGGAGGAGGAGGCTCCACTAGGGGATAGCTTAGACCTGGGACCTCAGCCAGAGGAGGAGGACGTTAAAGTACCAGACCGGCGGGTGCGAGGAAAGTCTAAGGTCCGTTTCCTGGATGCTTCAGATGGGGAATCATCTCTGGAGGAATTGGCTGCTGAGCTGTTGCTCGATGATGATGTGTCTGATCAGGCATTCCGCAAGATTGTGTGTCTTCTCGAGAATCAGGAGAAACCCTCCGGTGACCGTCGAGGTGGTGTTGATGAGAAGTACGTTCTGGGTGCCTTCTGTCATGGGGGCCAAAGGGGCGCTACTAAGTTGAGCAAGCGCCTCCCACAGACGACTAGGTTCTTGAATCACCTGCTGAGGCGGAGGGCCAGTCAGGATCCTGATCTTGAAAGGGTGCAATGGTCATCCCTGATGATCCTTAGGGCCACTGAGGTCGAAAGACACAAGGACGTTAGGAATGAGTGGGGCTCCAGGAACTTCATTATGTGCGTACCAGGAAGCTTTGAACTTCACTCGGAGCAGGCGCATGTGCTTACTAGTCGTGTCGCTAGTTTCGATGCCAGGGTTCCACACTCTGTGACGCGAACTCCAGATTGGTTCTTGGTTGGTTATACACCTCTTGGAACGGCAAAAATTAATGATGAAACCAAGTCCTTTCTTAAGGAAGTCGGATTTCGCTTTGAGGATGGAACTGAAGTAGATCATTGCATATCGGCTGTAAGAGTGAATGAAGATTCTGAGACTCCAGATCAGGAGTTACATGATTTGGGTTGTGAACCTAATGCCTTGTCCGAGGATGCTGGTCCCGGACCCAGTCTAAGTTGTGATGAACAAGAAGACTCAGTAACCCCGATAGTTGGTTGGGATTTTTCAACCTCGGACCCTCAGCATGCGCCAGTGCACAATCTTGAGGAAACTGACCTTTATCAGTTCCTTGATGATAGGGGTGTCGCGTGGTTGTGCAGAAGGCTAAGGGTTTTAGGTGTTGAAGAGGCTGGTGACCTTGCCTTGCTTTACGAAGAGGATCTGATTGAGAATGGATTCTCACCAGAAGATGCCTCACGTATTATGCGGGGTATACATCCTTCGGGTACCGTACGGCCTGATAATCCCAACTTGTGTTCGTTGACGACTGGGGAGGTCCAGCTATTAGACCGGCAGCACCGCAAGCTTCCTTGGATCTTCCAGAATAGGACCCTTGGGTTTAGGTCTCCTGCCCCACCTTTGAGAGGGATTGGTATTAAGGGTTATGATGATGAGGATCGTCCGCGGGAAGAGGATTGGATTATAAGCGAAGAAAGAAGAAGGAATGAGCAGCGATGGATTGCATATACTGAAGCTGCTGTTCCTCCGGAACTCCGTCCTCCAATTCCTGAAGGGAGACTTCAGCCCAGTGCAAGCTCCACTGATCCTCCACCAGGTGTTTCAGCAGGAAGTCTTAATGCTTGTGAAGGTAATGGTGCACAAACCCATGAAGATCCTCAAGGTAGGTCCCTTGATGAAGAGTACGCGTTGCATGCAATGCTTATGCAGTCTGTATGGGATGAGGAGGAGGATGTTCTCCCACCCGGATACCCGATTGATGCTATGAACAGCGTCTTCCTTGGAAGGAGTCGTGCCGATGATGGTTCCAATTCTGAGGGAGAGGATCAATGTGCCTCGTCTTCCGGGCATAGTTGCAGAATGGTTGCTTGTGATGATGTGGGTACGCCAGTGCCAACTGAAGGATCGTGCCCAACTGACTGTGGTGTGGTCGATCAGCCGGCACAATCCACATCAAGGATCGGCGTACCAACAGCAGATCCTTTAAGGGCTATTGGACAGCCGGGTAGACCGTTGAACCCCGAGCCGCACATTCTTAAGATAGACGAGTCCTTTTATACTAAAGGCGTTGAAACCATTTTGGAGAGTCTGACGGACACCCTTAAGGTTGTGCACAACGTCTCGCCCGACGAAGTCCGAAAACACTTGGAGAAGTGGATCCCGGCGGCCAAAGCAGAAGTAGATGCTTTAGAGTCCATGAAAGGGATCAGAAGGCTAAGGGGATCAGAGGTAGCTGAGGCGATGTCCCGACCTGGCGTGCAGGTGCTTCCTGCCAAGACCGTTTTCACAGTGAAGCCGGGAGCAGACACTGCATGGTTTCGTAGAAAATGTAGAGTGGTAGGCTGTGGGAACTTTGAGGAGAAGGACCCCGGTCTAGAACTGTATGCGGGCGGTGTCCCGGCAGAGGCCCTTCGCACGATTTTGGTAGAGGCAGCTGTCCGGAGGTTCCTTGCCTTCGTAACAGATATAAAGAACGCTTTCTTACTCGCTCCATTGCCTTTGAATATGGCTGGCAGAATACTGCTTAAACCCCCACGTCTGCTCGAGCAGATGGGAATCACAACTCCCGACGAATACTGGGAGGTTTGCAAGGCAGTGTACGGCTTGAGGCAGAGCCCGAAGTGGTGGAGCGATTATAGGGATTCAGTGCTTAGACAGGCGTCATGGGAAGGTGAGTCCGGAGTAATCCGGTTGCAGCAGTCTAGTGCCGAAGGAAATGTTTGGAAAATGATAAACTCTGAAGATCAGGTTGTAGGTTTTGTTATCATTTACGTTGATGATATGATGTTCTTGACTACAAAACTTGAAGCCGAAAAGGCCTATGCCTGGTTGAGAAGTGTATGGCAGTGCACTCCTTTGGAGGAAGCAACCCTTCCCAAACCAATCACCTTTCTGGGTGTCGAAATAAGCATTGGTCAGGATGCAGATGGACGCCAGGGTTTCTTGTTAGGCCAAAGGGGCTACATAGATGAGCTCCTGAGAATGTACGAACTTGAACCAAAGCATCGCACACCGGTTCCCAGGGAATGGGTAAAGGAGGCTCCTGAACTTGAGGAAGGTTTCGCAGTCGAGACTCTGAGACGAGCACAGCGGATCACAGGCGAGCTACTTTGGCTCACGCAGAGAACGCGTGTGGACGCAGCGTACACTGTGTCTCTTATGGGCTCATGGTGTTCAAAGGCACCAGAGCATGTGATACGCCTTGGCAAGCGCTTGTTGCATTTCTTGGGTTCGACGAAGGATTGGAAGCTTTCATTAATCCCAGTTGAAGGGGAAAAGAGGGTGGTGGTGTACACTGATGCATCATTTGCGCCGTACGGATCCCACAGCATCACCGGGGTCTTGGTTTCATACCACGGAAGATCAGTTGCCTGGAAGGCAAAGAAGCAAGCCTTGGTGTCACTATCGACGGCAGAGTCGGAGTTGATTGCCGCTTGTGAAGGAGTTGTGATGGGTCAAAGCTCAGAATCACTGATACTGGAGCTCACCGATGATCTGCGAACAAAACTCCTTTTGGTTGATAACCTAGCGGCAATAGCTTTAGTCGAGGGGTCGGGTTCTCAGCGCACTAGGCATCTTAGGGTAAGGTCAAACTTCGTGAGGGATCAGGTTGAAAGAAAGGAGCTCGAGGTTGATCACTGCCCAGGTGAGCAACAGTTGGCTGATCTGTTGACCAAGATTCTTGCAGGGCCGAGGCATCAATTTCTCGCATGCTTAATCGGATTAAGTGTAGACCCTATGCCCATGCAAGTTGCCACTGTAATCCCAGGAGTCATTCCGATAACAAACCCGGAGCTTAGGGCCAATAGGATCAAGTTGGTTCTGTTGGTGCTAATCATGCAAATGATAGAATCCGAGGCTACTGAAGATGATGAGGTCAGCGAGCCATTGAGTTTGGAATTGTCAGCAGTGGCGATTATGATGATGTTGTCGGTTTTGTTTCTTTGGGAAACGGGCAAGTACTGTATGATAAAGTGCTGTAGAAGCGAGGACGCAAGGATACGTTCCTTGCAGCATGAGGATGATGATGAAGTTCAGGTTGAAAGGTCAAGGAGACAAAGGCGGCAGGAGGCGGTGAGGCGTGCAATTGAGTTTGAAACCGATGAGCAGGTTTTAAGGAGGAGGAATGTTTATCACTCCGAGCATAATGCCTCATCTTCCACCGTCCCACCAGTCGTACAGGTTAATGTTGGAGATAGGTGGGAGGTTGAACGAAACCCACCGTTACCCAGGTTTGCAGAGACAGGCACCAGTGCAGCTTCGGCTTATACCGCTGTCTCTGAGCGGCAACCTGACCAGTCTCCAGCACCACCTCCTACCGTACCACTTGGACTTCGTGGTGATACCCAAGCCACCGTTTCCTCTGCTGACCCAATTGGATTTCATGGGAAAGCAACTCCGTTCTCCTCTTCTACAACGCCAGTTGAGTTTCCAGGGAGATCTGACCCTTCATCTTCCTCTACCGCCCCGGTTGGATTTCTTGGGGAACCGAGGACTTCCTCTCAGGAGGTGTCAGCCTCAGCCCGAGGTACACAGGTTTCTGTTCCTAGCCGGGAAATCGCTGTACAAACTGATTTTCCCAGGGGTCTAACGCATCTTGACATGCGCGAGATACAGATGATTACTACAAATAGTAGGACCCCTGGAGCCGTGCATCTATTCCCTGAGTGTCAGGCATTGAGAGGAGTTTCAAGCGTTAGTAGGCGATCTTTCTGTAGGTACTGCCTCTTAGCAGCCGAACGCTCGGGAATCTGAGGGAGTGAAAGCACTCTCACAGAGGCTTTCAAGGAGGAGTGTAGAGTTCCCTATGCGTACGTAGCTCTACGTGTAGGTCGTAGCTCCACTTCTAATCTGTCTTTGATAATGTTGAATTCGTAGCCTTGAAGGCTCGGCATGCCATGATCGGCAGAAGCCAAAAGCTTAGGACAGAGTCCAGGCATGCATGAAGCACAGCTAGCATTCCATAGGAGACATTCGCCCTGAGGGCCAAGTGTTCACCGGAAGCAGGTTTGCGTTGAGCGACAAAAGTGAGGTAGTAAGCCCATGGAAAGCCGCCACCTGTCTTGGTAAACCTCGACGACTTGAACGACTACAAGGTTCATGGCTTCCTCTACAGATAACCCAAATTCGAATGGTCAAGATGATGATCAACAAATCCCTATAGATCCCTTTAAAGGGACCTAAACCTTATACCCTTATAGAATCCCTATAGATCCCTTTAAAGGGACCTAAACCCTATACCCTTATAGAATCCCTATAGATCCTTTTAAAGGGACCTAAACCCTATACCCTTATAGAATCCCTATAGATCCCTTCAAAGGGACCTAAACCCTATACCCTTATAGAATCCCTATAGATCCCTTTAAAGGGACCTAATCCCTATACCCTTATAGAATCCCTATAGATCCCTGTAAAGGGACCTAATCCCTATACCCTTATAGAATCCCTATAGATCCCTTTAAAGGGACCTAAACCCTATACCCTTATAGAATCCCTATAGATCCCTTTAAAGGGACCTAAACCGTATACCCTTGTAGAACCCCTATAGATCCCTTTAAAGGGACCTAAACCCTATACCCTTATAGAATCCCTATATATCCCTTTAAAGGGACCTAAACCCTATACCCTTATAGAATCCTTATAGATCCCTTTAAAGGGACCTAAACCCTATACCCTTATAGAATCCGTATAGATCCCTTTAAAGGGACCTAATCCCTATACCCTTATAGAGTCCCTATAGATCCCTTTAAAGGGACCTAATCCCTATACCCTTATAGAATCCCTATAGATCCCTGAAAAGGGACCTAAACCCTATACCCTTATAGAATCCCTATAGATCCCTTTAAAGGGACCTAAACCCTATACCCTTATAGAATCCCTATAGATCCCTTTAAAGGGACCTAAACCCTATACCCTTATAGAATCCCTATAGATCCCTTTAAAGGGACCTAAACCCTATACCCTTATAGAATCCTTATAGATCCCTCTAAAGGAACCTAAACCCCATACCCTTACAGAATCCCTAGAGTACAGGCTTTTTCGGACCCTGGCAGCAGGTCCTGATCCTCTCCTCCAACGAGCTCGGTCCGGAAGGCTTGAACGGTAGGAGGGCGGCCTTTCAAACTTAGGGTTTAGGGAAGTAAAGGTTCTAGGATGTTCAGGGTTTGGGGGATTGAGGTAGTAAGGTTTCAACGCGAGTTTGTGGCTTAGGGAGTCAGGTCTGGGTTTGAGGACGAGTGAAGGGCTGCCTGCAGAGCGTTAAGCATTCAGGGCGACGGGTTAAGGGTTCTGGTTTAGGCCGGATCGGTGTAGGTGTATATGCGACTGCGAACATCATCTCCGATTAAGTCTGACGTGACTCTGTCAGGCATGGAAGCACTCTCCGCATCATTGCCACACTGTTATGGATTGAGGCACCAGCTTTGATTGCGTTCTTCGCTTCGATCTTTTTCGGGCGGCTCGACACCCCGACGAGTTTCACCTGGTCCTTTTGGGGATAATCAGCTTTTCATCCGACTCGATTGACGCCGAAGCCTTGCTGAAGTGATTCATCTGTCCCCAAGCAAGCGCGATATTCTTTCTGCCGCCCAAGATGTGACAACAGCTGGATGGGCTTGCCACAAGTCGTGTGGTATGCCCTTGATTACCAGTACGAGCAGTGCGTAACTAGCCATCATCAACATATTCGTTAAGACCAAAGATACAAGAATGCCACATTCGCGACAAAACGAGTAAAGCTTCGTACTTCAGTGCAGGCTGCTCTCAATGTCACTCTCCGCTCTCTTTGCCTGATGCATCCCTCCGAGCACTTAAAAAAAGCCGCATCTCCGTCCGCTGCGAGCGGAGGCATCTGGATCTCAGCTGGAACTCTTTGGGCCTCTTGGGAGGCGAGGCGATGGCTCAGGCCTCGCCCGATCTTCCCAAGCGGACCGGCAAGAAGCCTGAAGTTACCGAAGTCATCACCCCTGAAAAACGACCAAGCAAAAGCTCAAGCCCCTAAGATCGTTTCCACTGTCAAAGCCTTGAAGGCCCTGAAGAAGCACTGAGCCGTATAATGCATGTGCGTGCGTATGTGTATATAGGTGTATATAGATACATATATGTGTCGGCCGGTAGGTAGGTGCTGTCTGACCGTCTGTCTGTCGGTCGGTCGGTAGGGAAGTATGTAACGTACGTTATGTATATATATATATATATGTATACATGTATGTATGTATGTATGTATGTAGTCTTGACTTATTTGGAGTATTTTACACTTACACTTATATTCGTGTGTAAGTAATTGTACATGTACATGTATATGCATATGTGAATTGAGATGTATTTATTATTATGTATATGTATATGCGTATGTGTAAGTATATGTATATGTATAGTCAACGCGTATGCATGCATGAATGGGTGTGTGTATGTGCATATGCACATACATGCATGCGTGTACAGATGCAGCTTGCATGCATGTATGTACGCATGTATGTATGTATGTATGCATGTATGCATGTAAGTGTGTATGTATGTTGTTATGCAAAGTTGTACATTTGTCTATGCACACATATCTACATACAACAATTACATATATGTACATACATACACACATTTCGGAGGCCGGGGGGGGGGGGGCTGTGGGAGTGCATATTCTTGCAGGTGTGTGATTCCATGTTTGTTATTGGCTTGTTTTATGTTATGACTCTTTGAGACATTGGCATATGTTTCCCTTGTACAACCCATCAGAGACTCACTCGTGGTCGCTTTCATGGTCTTGTGCGTGTGCATGTTTATATATATATATATATATACACATACACATATACATGCATGTGTATATCTATATATATATGTATATACATACACCTACATCAATATGTATATATATATATATATATATATGTATGTTTGTGTGTGTGCGCGCATGCATCTATGTCTGTATATATATATATATATATGTAAACATATATGTTTATTCAGTGCATACACATATACATAATGTCATCTTCACATATGTCTATCTGCTCAAACAGTGAGTGTTCGGTGTTTCCGGCACTGGTCGTGCTGCCCGGCCGCAGCTGGAAGATGTTTTCGTTCAATGCTGAGACAGATTTGTCACTCTACTACCTTTGTCTGCTCACGTGTACCATGCATGCATGCATCTGTATATATCTACGTAGGAACCATTACGAACCTATATATATATATATATATATTGGTTTTGCTTATGCCGATTTTCGTATGTTTGCATGCACGTATTTATTCATGAGCTGGTCGTTCACCAACTAGGTAGCTTCTACAATATGCCGATACATATGTGCGTCTATCTATCAATCTATCTATCTCTCTATCTATCCTAACATACTGCCTGGGAGGTTTACAGATTGAGTGTATTTGAGATGCAAGTCTATATCTCTAGTCGCAAGCCACCTGCAATCGACTGTCGTACGTTTATGGGTACGGAACTTCAGACACCAGAGCCGCAGACCCCCCCAATGGTCTCATCGGGTCAACCAGACTAAGTGACTAAGTCGCTGCGGAGCACATGACATCATCTCGCAGGCACTGCCGTCCATGAGCCTCCTGCAGCTGGACCTGTCCTCCAACCAGCTGGAGGCAGTCGTGACCAATGAGTCAGAATGCCGTACACTTGCACCATAAACTAGGACTCCAGACCTGGGGGCGCTG